AAACTGTGAAACAACAACAAAGGTCGAACATCAGACAGACCTACGAGCGCTGACGACTGAAACCTGAAGGAATCAGATGCTAGAATAAATCGTCTTCCTTTGGCGACGTGTTCAGTGTGTGATGCTCTGACTCAGAACTTACCAGAACCGACGGCAGCAGCCTCCGTCTCAGACAGATGAACCCGGTCAAGATCAGCATGAAGATGCAGAACATGACGACGATCACCAACGAGCACAACATGCCCGAGATCAGCGGGTCTGCACGCAGGAACACAACGAGTTTAGAGATGAACATCAACATGAACAACATCATTGTTCTAACAATACAATATCACGTTATTACAATATACATAATTATCACGTTCGTACAATATAAATATTATATTGTTCAAACGTGAAAGGTATATTGCACGAACATGAAAAGTATATTGTTAGAACAATAAACTTTTCACATTCTAACATGATATAGCTCTATTTTCCTTTTGCCTGGATGGCAGCTCTACGCTTACGTACTCGGATGAGGCAAAGTTCTACAAGTTGTGCCTCCACACTGCCGTGCTGCTCCACCTTTTCTCTTTCATTTCTGTGTTTGTGCATGCGCAGTGTGAGAGGCTGCGTTGAGGGGCGACAGGATTTCAAACAGGTTTGATTATCTTGCAACCAAACGATTGATGATTGGGAGCTGGTTGTGAGGTGTTAAATGCTCATTACCCCATGTATACTACTCAATGCACGACACACGATTAAGGCAAAACTCGGGCCGATCCCCAAAACGGTTGCGCGACTGAAAAATCGACTCAAAATGGGCCAAAAATCGCACAGTGTATTGCCAGCTTTTGGAGGCTAGCTCCAAAAAAACATCCGGAGCTTGGCAGTGTATACAGCACTATAATGACCAGACCTAATTCTTTTGAAAAGCATACATCTTTCCACAGGTCTCCACTTCATCAGACATCACCTAGACTCAGAGCTGGAGAAGGCCAGCACAAACAGCAGCCTAACCGACAAAGATGATGGATCCATGAGGTCAGGAAAGCCAGAAGCAGAGGAACTGGAGAAGTACCTTTCATGTCCATTCACTGGAGGTGTGGATCTATTGCATGGCTTTCCTCACATCAAGAAGCTGTTGATCAAAGTCAGTACAGCTCTTCATGCATCTGTAGCTTGTGAAGGACTCATGCAGGACTCCTGTTCACTGCTAAACAGTTACAGCTTCACAGAAAGAACCTTGAGAGCAAACTGCTGCTGAAGTTTAACCATCAACTTACCGAGTGAAGAAATGGCACATTTTTGCTAAATATGCAGAAAAAGATGCACACCCATACAATTTATGGTAAACTGAGCTGCCTTGTATGAACATATGTTGAAGATGCCT